TGCTGCACATAACAACACAGAGTACCTGCTCAACAACATAGAGTACCTATGATTCCATTTATATAAAATAGGCAAAACTTACAGGCAAGGGTAATCTGTAGTGGTAAGTGTTGATAGTGGTTACCTTGAGCACCATTCATTCATTATCAGTTCTATAAAATTAGAATCATATATAATTTTGCATTCTGCTTTTTTTCACTTCATATTTTACTTTGAGTATTTCCCTGTATCATTAAATACACCTCAAAAATAATATTAAGAGCTATTTAACATTTCTTTGTAATTTAGCCATTATATTCCTACACTTACTATTTATGAAGGGTAAATTAACACCATGAAAACATAAGTTATAATTGATATTATAATAATTCTAACCATAATTACAAATAAATTGTTGTTGGTTACCTTCCTGTATACAGTCTTTAGTGCTGGATTTAAAGGTTCCTTGCTTATGTTTAGTCTGAAATTCCATGACTGTCTAATAGGTGAAGGTAATGACATTATTTCACCACTTTCTTCAAACCAACACTTTCCCTATCAAAAATATTTAAGAAATATAGTAATTAAATATTCCACTAAAACAAATGTCACATACTATCAGTGAGCGGTTTAACTTGTTAGTTCGGACACTTGCCTCTTCTAGTTTAAGCAGGCGCTTTTCCATTTTGTTGCAGGTCTTTTTATATACTTTTGGCTTTCTTGGAATATAGAATCCTTCATCTTCTAAAATGCGAGGCATCATATCTTCTGGCAGTTTATGCTGGTTGGTCACTTAATAAGAAAACTTACATATTACATTAAAATCTAAAATATTAAACTGGTATTGAGCAAATAAGAAGTACAAAGGAGCTATCTTTCTACCCTACTAAAATCTAGCAGAAACTCTCCCTCTCTCTCTCTCTCTCTCTCTCTCTCTATATATATATATATATTTTTTTTATATATATATATATGATGAATGAGTTCTCTTAATCAATTCCCTTCACTCACTAAAGGCATGAAGAACAAATACAGAACACTATAATCTCAAATCAGTACTTTTTATTTATCCAGCACTATTACCCTGTAATATGATTCANACTATAATCTCAAATCAGTACTTTTTATTTATCCAGCACTATTACCCTGTAATATGATTCATTAATTGCTTGAATATTTTATTGGAAAAGAACATTACCTGGAGAACTACTTGGCACAAAAATATTTGCCTGCTGTTTTTTTATTTGTTCTTGATCATCTTCATATTCAGCAGCTTTTACTTCAATTAAATCTGTAAAAATGACTTCTTCCATAAAATCATCATCTTGGCACTCAGCAAAATTTTGTAAATTATCACCAAGTGACAAGGGTTCGAAGTGACTATCATTTACTGATCTCTGTTGAATACCAAAAAGAAAAATGAGTCTACTTGCTTGTCCCCAATGATTAATATGCATATAAATGAAATGTACTAGAAACTGTGTTTCTGATCCATACCACCCAGATCAAGTTCTAAGTGAAACTGTGTTTAATAAAATTTCACTGAACATAGAAGAATTCATTTAAGTCTTAGTATTATACAATGTGATTTTTCTATAGCCCATCTTTACAATTTTCCAATGAAAGATTACTGAAATAGAGCTATAACTTAAGGCCCTCTTTCCCTATGGAAAATGTTCTGAGATCCTGGACTATGATAT